ATATTTAAAAACAACAAACACTAAATATTACGATGAAAAAAAAAACGATTACATGTAGCATGCGTAGTTGGTAGCACTTTGATCCTTCTTTCGTAAATCTCATCCCATTTCTCCCTGGTAGCGTTTTTTGCTTGCGACGCCCAGAACGCGATATTTCTCCTTCTGGTCTTATTGGCGGCAATATCGAATATTCTGCGTAATTAAAATTATTTGGGAATATCACAGGTGTAATATGACCAGCGTAGCACATCTGATACCGCTGCAAGCTATATAGGTGAGAGAAACAATCATCTGCACGTTGTCTGAAAGAATGGAACAAAGAGTGTGCATCCACGCAAGGAATCCCGTCTCCTTGCCATTGTCCACAAGTACACAAGTTAGAGAAGGAAGCCTTAGAGACAATGTATTGATTTCCGCCATAATGCACCGCTTGAAATATTTGTTTATCTTTTTCCCTTGTTTCAGAGATCTTTGAAATCTTCGGAGTAAATCGTAGGTTTTTTCGTTGCCAATCAAAACATGACCTGCGTCGTGACTCAAACGAATCAACGAGTTTATTGTACGACGCTCAATATTCACTAGAGCTTCGGCCGCAACTTGTTCTATCTCAAATGCTGGTGCGTGTAACACAGTATCCCTCACGCGTCGCAATGCGCTTACCTAATTAAAGATAAGATAAAAACATATTAGTAAGTACAATAGTAGTTTAAGTGATAAAAATGTCATGTGTCTTACTACTATTGCTAATGCACCCGCCGAGCCATCAACACCAATCGCTAGGTGGTGTGTTGGATTGCGTATGTGTCGACGACCATAATAATAAAACCAATTTGTGTAGTTGTCTACATTACCCTCTCCTACATAGTGTGGCGGAAGTGGCTCCATTTCATCTTCCACTAAATGGTTAAATCGATTATTACGCCACTCATTGTACATCGGAATAAAAGCATCTCGCAAAGTATTGCGGCCATCTGCTCGGTGTAGTGCTTCAACATAAGGGAATGAAAGATTTTGAATCTGTTGCATCATGCCGAATTGTCGGGCAAATCTCCTTGGCATGTGTGGCTCTATTATCAAGTCAAATATGATGAGGCATTCGTAAAACCACAACTGACGACCAGCCTGACAATAATCTGGTAATGCCTCTAAATTATAGGGAGTCCAAACAACCTATAGCAAAGACAGAAAGTATTAGTTATTTTAATTTAAAATCTAAATATTAATTACTTAAAATACATACATGTCGAAAAAGTGAACCGTCAAACTGGTCTCGGTAGTTACGAAGTGAAAATCGTGACGTGTCATTGAACAACCTTCGAATGCGCCACCTATATGAGAAAGAAAAAAATATTTTAATATTTGAGATAATCAAAATAACATTTAAATAAAACAAATATTTATCATACTGAGCGCCATGCGGTTCGTCATTTCGAAGTGGGCCATGCAGGGGCGGATCCATAGCTTAAGAATTGGGGGCAATGGCCCCCTACTAGTTTTAAATTTTTGTTTATCATGTGTATTGTCCAAGATGGTGGTCCATGATATCGAATCCAATAACTTTGTGAAAAAGTTCACGATAGGTATTTGGATCAACCATTTCCTCAAAAACTACAGGTTCTCCGTCTATTCTTAAACCCATTAAACATTCAACATCCTGTAAAGTGATACCAAGTTCACCAAACGGGAAGTGAAATGCATGCACTTCGGGCCTCCACCTTTCAACGAGGGCCGTAATCAAACTATGGTCTATTTTAATGGGGTGCACCCGATGTACCCCATAAAACCCACACCTTAAAATTTGCTCTACCCGATCATCCTTAAACTTTTCTAAAATACGAGAATCATTTCAACATACTGATACTTTTTTGTCGGCAAAGCCCGGTTCCGCCCAAACACGACTTGATCGATGAGTGTTTTGGAGGGTGAGCATAGCATCGTTCATCGGACCGGCAAGTTGACGTTGCATGTCGTCCATCTGCGTAAAAAACAACAATGAATTAATGATTATTTTCAAATGAAATTATATAATTAAATTAATACTCCCTCCGTCCGGAAATATTCTTCCCATTTTCCTTTTTGGTCCGTCCGGAAATATTCTTCTCATTTCCTTTTTTAGTATACTTTTTAAGGCTAAATATCAATAATACCCTTCTATTTTATCACAAATCTACTTTTTTAGTACTTTTTTAATAATAAAAGGAGATTTAAAAGTTTATAGTATGTGCATTTTTGAAAATTTTGCATTTTTTACTATTCCTTAATAAGCTTGCCAAGTCAACACGGGAAGAACATTTCCGGACGGAGGGAGTACTATATATTAGGTATTAAACAAAAAATACCCTTTGTTTTTAAAAAATAAACACGAAAAGAGGGGAGAAGGTGGAGAGATGCAAAATTCGAGTTCAAAGAACCCATTATTTATAACTTGGATTTTGAACTAAACTGTGTTCGGCGAACACAGGTTTGACTTTAGTTTTTTTTGCAATTCTTTTGGCTTCAACACGCAAATGGTTCCACATGGAAAGTTTTTTCTTTTGGCAGAGTTTTTTCTTTTCACAGTCCTTTTGTCAGATTTGCAGGCTTATTGTGTTCAGCGAACACACTTTATTTTATTTTTTTTTAAATGTGTGTTCAGCAAACCCACTTTACATCAATTGGAAATAGTTTGAAAAAATATGAATTGAGAACCTACTTTATTCACTGATCGGGAAAGCACCCGGTTGATGAGATGAAGATTTCCGCGTGGAGAAGCGAAGAAGACGGGCTTCTTTTTCGATGGAAAGTCTTTCTCTGTTTCCTCAGACGCGTGTAATGTGACGTGTCTTAATAATATAGCTCTTCAATTGACACATGTCATCATTCTAAACCATCAACTCTCAAATTTTATATTAAAGGATAAGCTTTCGATTTAATTAATTTTCCATTTAGAGATTCAGTGCCAAACATTTTTATGGAGAATTAAATTTATAAATTTATGCATTTAAGGAAAGTACAATTAAAAATAAAAATCAGAAATTAAAAAAAAGAAACTAAATCTAAACAATGTCAAAGTAATATATAGAAATGGTGGCACATATGATGAATGTTGAATATAGATATGATAATTAAATCATAAATTACCGTGTAACAAGAATAAGTCATGTATTACCGTGTAATAATAATAATAATAACAATAACAACAACAACAACATGATGATGATGATGATGATGATGATAATAATAATAATAATAATAATAATAATAATAAAATACCATGTAATAATATTACTGTAATTAATCATTATTAAATTATTACCGTGTAAGAAGAATAATAATATACTGTGTAAGAAGAATAATAATATACTGTGTAATGATATTCCCGTACATAGTCATTATTATCGTGTAATAATTATAATCAAATAAGTTCTCAATTTAATAATCTTTTCATTTAGAGCTTTGGGGCTAAACTTTTTTTGGAGACGTCGTTTTAAGAGACGTGCCTTTAATACAAGGAAACATATTGAATAATATATACCCTTATATATCAAACAACCAACCATTGATTAATAACTTACTGGAAAAAAATTAGACGCACGGAAATAAAAAAACATGCTAAATTTTTCATAGTATAAACCATTTTTCGTAATTAGCATCTTTCAAGTTTTTTGAACGACTTACACTCTCCCGAGTTTTTAAATAAGAATCATGACTCCTATGTATCAAATCATGAGTTAACTTTGAAAGTAGGCACACCTATTATGTTGTTGAGAAATATTGATCATTCATTGAGTTTATGTAATGTTACACATTTGATAGTAACTTGATTGGCTAATTACTTAATACAAGAAAATATATTTAGTCATGGACAATGAATGGTATTTACCAGAAACATGTTGGTGGTAATCATAATGGCTTGAAGATTATGATATGCAACAAATAACAATGTTTCAACAAATTGTACGAGTAATGTAGCTTATTAAAAACTCTTTCAAAATTTATAAAACAATTAACTTATGTATCTTAAAATTATAAAATCTCTATATTTTATTAGATAAGAAATCGTATCCTTCAAAAATGATTTTAATTTAGTAACGTAAATATGACCCGTGCAACGCACGGGTGTGATACTAGTGTGAAAGTAATGTGATATTGTACATGTGCATAATACTATATTTTCTGGTAATGTACATGACCACGTTTGGTAATGTAAATACATTTTAACTTCTATTTCGAGAATAAAAACATATAAGTCGTATTTTGATATATTTTCAATATTTTACTCATACTTTAGTCATTTTCCCATGGATGAACAGTTTAAAATTGATCAACAATCTGAGCTGTATAATAGTATAAGGTTAACCATTAAAGAGTTGTGAAAAATTATCTTTGTCACGATTATAGAATTAGAAAACAAAGTCGTAGAGATTATTCACATAGCTAAATTAAATAAATTGTGTATCATTTCATACAGATTACCCTTGAAGTTTCAAATAATATAATTTCAATAGTTTTTATTTCGTTATGATTATAAATGAAGTAAAGGCTAAACATTATCATTTATAAGATTTTTTTACCAACTTGGTATTACTTACAATTAATTTTATATTATTGTTTCACGAGCAAGAATAAAAAGCAGGGTTCAAAGTATTGATTAAATCTCTTTGGTAATCTCTATACATATAACATCACAAAAAAATGGTATATATCTCAAAAATTTTCAAAATATTTAAATTTAAAAAAGGTTTTGATATTTAAATTTCAAATGTATATTGTAGAAATTTCATTAGCAAATGTTATATGCTTTATATGTGTTTTAGCTTTTAAAGCTGATATTTTATTTTATTCGATATTCAAGAATTGAGATAGCAAAGTAGATAAAAAAAACTATTGCACGGATAAAAAAGTCGAAGCCAAGGACTCTGTGGCCCAAATAAAATTTTGATGTTAGCCGGATCTCTCTCTAATCTCTATTTAAGCTATCCTTTCCTTAAAACATACTGATATTTTTTCCCCTCAGTGTAGGAGACGCGATTCAACAACGCCTCAGCGTTCGACCTCGTGCCTCCCCTCATCCTGCCTTGTTGTTCTCTCAGTTATTACCAGGTATGTTCAGAGCCCTAACTAAATTTTCTATTTTGAATCGAGGAGAAAGCTTTGTTGGAGGTTTCATATGTGATCGATGTTCTCCGTGTAGGGAGGGGAGGGATTCAATTTCACTATGTCCTACCTCTACTGCTTCCTTGCTGTAGATGTTGAAGGAAAGACCTTTTATAAACAAACGTTATGCTAAGTTTTAGGATTATGAGTCCATTGCTTTCAGATTTATTCTCTGTTTGTGCTAGCTTCATTGCTTAGTTTTTTGCTTCTCTATTGGACGGATGATATATTGAATATTTCAGCCCAATTGGATGCAGTGAATCTTAAATGATGGATGATTCCGGCAATCTTCTGAAACAGTACCCCTACGTTACATCCCAAGATGTGGACTATCTCCGAGAGGGTTATGGTGCTCTCGGAGATATTAGTCAACTTGTTCGGTGTATAAACACAGCACGAGAAACTCAACAAGCCAATGGTCGTGAACATGTTTTAGCTGGACCATTGCTTGATGTGCAATCAGTCCATGTACTACCAAAAGCAGCACACAAAGGCAGACCAGTTTTTGTGTATGGTAGGATTCGTGTTAGTTATCTACACATAAGTGATGGTAGACAAATGCATCTTGACATTTATAACCGAAAGGCCAATGATGCTGAATACATTAGCCCAACTGGCGGCAATTTGACACTCACTTGGCCTGATGATAATCATCGGAAGGTCTATGACTTGTGGATGAAATTGGACAAAACAACAATAGCTGCGGATCTCTATCTCAAAATTGGAAATCGGACTGCTCCACTTGCCGTAGATGACATTTTAGTGGGGGATACAACCAAAGGTGATTTTGAAGAAGTGAAATCAAAAGTAATCGGTGGAAAACTTTGCTCTGCTACTCTTGTTTATATTGCAATGCCATTTGCTACTTTGGGTCGACTGGGCATTCTTTTCTCCAGCAAAGATCGAAACATCCATCAGGTTAATGTCGCCGGTAAAATATCTGCACGATATAAGAACACTTACGGAAACTATGACTCGGAAGAATGGACTCTTTTTGAGAGTAAGGATGAATTTGAGCCTGTCAATTTAAAGATGAATAAATCCTTGAGGCTCTCTAGATACTGGTTAGGGAAGCCTGCATATTCATCACTCATTCTTGATCTGGATTTGAGAGACTTCGATGCCAACACAACGCTCATCAAAAGAAAAGTGGAATTATTTGACCGGAACGGTGTGTTTTCAACTGAGTATTTAGTGACAGTAGATGGTTTGACCATTCGTGTGCATATGCCTATGTTTTCGTATCAACCTGATGGCTGCTGCTATGAGAGCAGTGATTCGGATGAGGTAACCCATTCTCTCTGAGCACTACTCCGTATATTTTTCCAAATGAGCAAGAAAATGAGTTCATACAAAAAAGCAAGATAGGCTATTCCTTAGCAGTATGTTAAAAAAAGGATGTTTTGGATGAATTTAATTTTTGCTCTGTTTCATTTATTTCAAGTTCATCTTGTTTCCTATTTTTTCTGTTGCTATCCAATTTAACATGTTTGTGATTCCAGTTGATGCCTCTCAACACTTGACCAAGTAATCCCATCGCCTTAATTGTTATTTTTTTTGTTAAACATAGTAGTAAATGAACTAGAATCCCCTCAAACCAAACCATTATATTTCTTTCACCCCATTATCCCCCACCCCTCCCACGCACTGCCGATCACCTCTAACTCCCAGAGCATAACTGCCACCCACCCACACCTAACCATCTGAACTACCCAAAGCTGGCCGACCCACCCCTGCCCCCATTTAACATTTTTAACCCCCAAAAAAACAGCCCAGACTGGAAATTAGAACTTGGTTTTAATTGCTGGGTGCTGCAACTTTGAAGTTGAACCATTATCCGGGAAGGACCAGAGGAGCAGATGTCGGCTAGGCCGTGAGGATTAGGAGGATTTTTTTTGCCCGTCTTTTCCATGGCAGTATGTTGAATGGGTGTTGAGTTTGCAGGACACGGAACTGTTACCGGAATCAGAACTGGTGGTTCTAGAATGGAGTCGTCTTGGAAGGGTTCTTGTTTTGATTATCACTTTGGAATAGTGATTTACTTCCCGTTTTGATGGTAACAACCCGGGGGGAGGCTTCCGGTTTTGCCCATTCGGATAACCAGAATTGGACCTAGATTGGGCCGTGTCATATCAGCATTTGATAGAATGTTTAAAAATTTAATGGATCCAAGTAGAGGGTTATGGTTGTAAATTACACAGAAGTCGAGGGGAACCAATTGGAATCACCAATGTATTTATTGGACACCGATTAGAAAAGTTGGGTACATCGGCACAATGTGAACTTTTAGATTGACCTTTTTTAGTCAAACTAAACAAATTTTAATCATCAATTAAATAAAAATTGTATTGTATATTAGTACGAAAATGATTCCACTAGATTTATCTAGCAAATTTTTTAAGCACCATACTTTGAGACGTAGGGAGTAATATTTCATTGTACTTCGCTCCTATTTTGACCTCCTTTTGTCTTTTCTTTCCAGTCTGATGATGAATGCGTTTTCGAAGACAACCTTCGGTATGTGGTTCTTACCTTGTCTTTTCTTTCCAGTCTTTTCTTTCCTCCTTTTGTCTTTTCTTTCCACTTTTGTTACAAGTTTTAATTTGGTCTCTGAATTTATTCATGTTAATAGGTACCATCATCATAGTATGCCAGTGACACCTCGCACATCAAACTTAGTGGAGTTCTACTCTGTTCTTATTGGTCGTAGAAATTTGATGGCATTGAATGTGTCAGGCACTATTGAAATCACTACCTACCATAATTCACAATATCTATTCAAGAGTATAGGTGACGATGTTGTGAAAATGGAAGAAGGAGAGAAAGTTCTTCCATTGTTGGAAGTGGACAAAGATTTTTATGATTGCGAGACGCTTGAGTTGAAAATCAATCTGAAAGATGTTGACGGGAAGTACAAGAATAAAGGTTTTCTTACTTACATAATTGATTTCAGCGGATGTCCTTTTTGGTTCAACACCCAGCGATGTTCTGTTATCCCAGGCGAAGATGGTTTTTGTGCTCTATTTTATTCCATGTTCCGAAAAGCTTGTCTTGCTGACATTGAGGTGCATTTCAAGGTCAAGAATGTTTGTGATTCCTTGATTTATGGAAGTGTAGTAGCTCAATATAGCAATTCGACTACTCAACTCAGTTCAAGAGAGTATTTTTGAAGTGTGCTTTTTAAAAGGTCTAAGAAAGATCTAGCAGAATTAGGGGTTGATGGGAAGGTACCACTCGCTCGTTGTGTGGTTGTGGTTCCAATGCATTCAAGTCTTATTCTTGATTTGGATCTCTGTGGGTCAACTGTGAACGATAGTTTATCATTCAAAAAAGAATTTGAGATTGGACATCATTTGTTTACGATGGAGACAACTCTCTATGAGCTTGACATTAAGCTGTCTTGGAGAAATGGTAAGTGTATTAATTATGTATATTATACAGTTTAAATTCTATTATATGTAAATTTTGGTTATTTTATCACTGTTGGATCATTTTGGTGACCTAGTGGCTTCATGTGGTTTGGATCTTTGCATGAGTTATCATAAACATTATGAATTAACAAGGTTTAGGTACTATCAGGTTAAAGATAGTGGGTGACATCAGTATCCTAATAGTATGTTTGAATAGAAATTATATATAAAAAAAAGTAGGCGAAGCAAAATAAGAGAAATCGACTGAAGATGAAGATGAATTTGTCACACAAAAGAACACGAGCCGTACTCAAAATTTGAAGACGAAGATGAATATTATGTAGAGTGATATTGAACAAGCTATTGGAACTGCATATATCTTTTGGATAATGGCTAGATCACAGGCTTCCAATTGTATAGAAATAGCATCTCGAGTACAGTAAACTAGTTCTCTGTATTATAGCACTGCATCATCATTGGCGGGGCTTAAACTTACACTTCTTTCCTTTCGTTTTTTCTTGGCAGCCTCTTACTATGAATCAGGAAAGGAGAAAATGGAAGATATGAACCTGGTCAGTCTAAAAGGAAACAATTCTGCTAGGGAACACTCGTCGTATCAGCAAGAATTGCAAGAACACGTCTCAGAAATAGTGGACAAGGAGCGTTCCTCAGAAGAAAAGCCATTTGAGTTGGAAAAAAATGTGGAAGCTTCTGACTTTCCACGGCCATCTCGGGAAGAACCTGTTGGGGAGATCGCAAAACTTAGCTATGCTTCCATAGTATGTATCCCTTGTACTTTTAGCTTTCCTGCACGATATACATTTTCCTATCTGTCATCAGTGCCAGTAATCAGAATACATGTTTTTTCTTCCTTTAATTTGACATAAAATGCTTGGTGATGTGTAGGTATGCGGACCTAAAGGAAAATCTACACCATCTGCTAGTGTGCCGCCACCCTTTACCAAGGGCACACCACCACCTCCAGAACGGAAACCAGTTCTCCGCCAGTCAAATCCTTTCTCAACGGTTTTACGTGATTACAATCATCAACGGGTTGATAAAGGCTTTCATCAGGAAGGTGAAATCTGGTCTTGTTCTTATAAGTGTACCCTACTATATGGGTTTTCTAGTCCGGCGTGAATTCACTTTAAATTTGCAATCAAATGTGTTCTGGGTTTCTAATTGTGATATGCCAAATCTGTTCATGTGGCAGGGAAATCATTGTCTGTGTTTGTCAAGAATTTACCAACTACGGTACCAATTCAAGATATTGTTAGAGAGTTTCAAAACTTTGGAACAATCAAGCAAGGTGGAGTGGTTTTGAGAATGGGCGAGGTTGGTCATTTCTCTCTTTGTTGAATATGTTCCTTGAAGAAAAGAAATGGATACATGCTGATACAAGAATTGAAATTGGCGTGCAGGATGTTGGCATCTGCTATGCGTTTGTTGAATTTGAAGATGTCCAGGGTGTTCGCAATGCACTCAAGGTTTGAGATCTATCTAGCTTCAGTTTTCATTAGCTCTTTTGTGTTATCACTGGTGTCTGTGTGTGTGTGTGTGTGTGTTTAGCTGCAATGTCACGGAGGAATATATCTCGATGTGCTATCATATTGTTGTTTTGATCCGCTAATTACCCTGAGCATGCCATCTTTTACATACATCAAAATATCCAATGATTGTTATATGCATCGAGAGTGATGTCATTGCCTTTTTTGTTAGGCTTCTCCAATAAAATTAGATGGAAGGCAAGTCTACATACAGGAGACGAGACAAGTCAACAAGAACAACACTTCACGTGGGAGAGGTATGTTCTTCCAACTATTACTCCACGCTTATTATGGTTTGTCATTGCTTTCATATTTCCATTTGCGCGATTCTCAATTGTTTGCCTATTCCATGTCTTGTTAGTCTTGTTAATTGAGTAGTATGTTGCTTTAGAACCATTCTCGCGTTAAACCTGCAAGCAAACTGAGTTTGGGAATTGACTTGATCAGGCGGTGCAGGAAGAGCAGGAGGTCGTGGGAGACCCTTCATTTGGAAGGGGAGCTTAACAACATAACCCTCTGGTTATGACTGGGTGAAGAGTAATGGCTTTCATGCAACTTGGTACCGAAAATTGCTGGCCTTTTGTGAGTAGGGTTATAAAAGAAGGGAATAATTTTTGTGCGGTTCGTGATTCGTATTCGATTACTTCGAATCCGAATTTAATTTTGGATACTGATTCCTTTTTTTGCTTGAGCCGGGGGTCTCTTGGAATTAGAAACAACCTTACTACTTTGGAGTAGGTGCAAGGTCTGCTTACACACTCTGTCGAGACCCGACTCTTGTGAGATTCAAGAGGGCTGTGGTTGTGCTCTCAATCGACTTGTGTAGAACTGTGTGTGCCTTTTCCTCTTTGGGTGGTTTTGTGTTCCCTTCATTGTCCAATCTTAGCAGCACTCTTACATCTATCTTTTGCATGTGGATATGCTGTAGTGGTTGTTCATACTTGTAAGCAACACTCTTCCCTTCAATGTCCTCAGTATAGGAGATGCGATTCAACAACGCCTCAGCGTTCGACCTCATCCCTCCCCTCATCCTGCCTTGTTGTTCTCCTCTTATTACCATGTATGTTCAAAGCCCTAACTAAGTGGAGTAAATTCTAATAAAAAGACTTGCAGAACCGTTTGGGAAAGGAGTTAAGTTTTTGTTAAAGATTGATCTGTTGAATTTCAAAGAAAGTTTTTATCTAATTGAAAGAAAACTTAAAACTCTAAATTGAAGTGAGGATTAAGCTTTGTTGGAGGTTTCATATGTGATCGATGTTCTCCATGTAGGAAGGGGAGGGATTCAATTTCACCATGTTGAGGGGCGTCCTTTCATTACAGCATGTCCTACCTTTACTGGTTCCTTGCTGTAGATTTTGAAGGAGAGACCTTTTATAAACAAACATTATGCTAAGTTTTAGGATTATGAGTCCATTGCTTTCAGATTTATTCTCTGTTTGTTCTTTGAATACTTCTACCCAATTCGATGCAGTGAATCTTAAATTATGGATGATTCCGGCAATCTTCTGAAACAGTACCCCTACGTTACATCCCAAGATGTGGACTATCTTCGAGAGGGTTATGGTGCTCTCGGAGATATTACTCAACTTGTTCGGTGTATAAACACAGCACGAGAAACTCAACAAGCCAATGGTCGTGAACATGTTTTAGCTGGACCATTGCTTGATGTGCAATCAGTCCATGTACTACCAAAACCAGCACTCAAAGGAAGACCAGTTTTTGTGTATGGTAGGATTCGTGTTAATTATCTACACATCAGTGATGGTAGACAAATGCATCTTGACATTTATAACCGAAGTGCCGATGATGCTGAATACATTAGCCCAACTGGCCGTAATTTAACTCTCACTTGGCCTGATGATAATAATCAGAAGGTCTATGACTTGTGGATGAAATTGGACAAAACAACAATAGCTGCGGATCTCTATCTCAAAATTGGAAATCGGACTGCTCCACTTGCCGTAGATGACATTTTAGTGGGGGATACAACCGAAGGTGATTTTGAAGAAGTGAAATCAAAAGTAATCGGTGGAAAACTTTGCTCCGCTACTGTTGTTTATATTGCAATGCCATTTGCTACATTGGGTCGACTGGGCATTCATTTCTCCAGCAATGACCGAAACATCCATCAGGTTAATGTCGCCGGTAAAATATCTGCACGATATAAGAACACTTACGGCAACTATGACTCGGAAGAATGGACTCTTTTTGAGAGTAAGGATGATTTTGAGCCTGTCAATTTAAAGATGAATAAATCCTTGAGGCTCTCTAGATACTGGTTAGGGAAGCCTGCATATTCATCACTCATTCTTGATCTGGATTTGAGAGACTTCGATGCCAACACAACGCTCATCAAAAGAAAAGTGGAATTATTTGACCGGAACGGTGTGTTTTCAACTGAGTATTTAGTGACGGTAGATGGTTTGACCATTCATGTGCATATGCCTATGTTTTCGTATCAACCTGATGGCTGCTGCTATGAGAGCAGTGATTCGGATGAGGTAACCCATTCTCTCTGAGCAATATACTCCGTATATTTTTCCAAAAGAGCAAGAAAATGAGTTCGCACAAAAAAGCAAGATAGGCTATTCCTTGGCAGTAGGTTAAAAAGGGATGATTTGGATGAATTTAATTTTTGCTCTGTTTCATTTATTTCAAGTTCATCTTGTTTCCTATTTTTTCTGTTGGTATCCAATTTAACATGTTTGTGATTCCAGTTGATGCCTCTCAACACTTGACCAAGTAATCCCATTGCCTTAATTGTTATTTTTTTGTTAAACATAGTAGTAAATGAACTAGAATCCCCTCAAACCAAACCATTATATTTCTTTCACCCCATTATCCCCCACCCCTCCCACTCACTGCCAATCACCTCTAACTCCCGGAGCATAACCGCCACCCACCCACACCTAACCATCCGAACTACCCAAAGCTGGCCGACCCACCCCTGCCCCCATTTAACATTTTTAACCCCCCAAAAAACAGCCCAGACTGGAAATTATAACTTGGTTTTAATTGCTGGGTGCTGCAACTTTGAAGTTGAACCATTATCCGGGAAGGACCAGAGGAGCAGATGTCGGCTAGGCCGTGAGGATTAGGAGGATTTTTTTTGCCCGTCTTTTCCATGGCAGTATGTTGAATGGGTGTTGAGTTTGCAGGACACAGAACTGTTACCGGAATCAGAACTGGTGGTTCTAGAATGGATTCGTCTTGGAAGGGTTCTTGTTTTGATTATCACTTTGGAATAGTGGTTTACTTCCCGTTTTGATGGTAACAACCCGGGGGGAGGCTTCCGGTTTTGCCCATTCGGATAACCAGAATTGGACCTAGATTGGGCCGTGTCATATCATCGTTTGATAGAATGTTTAAATATTTAATGGATCCAAGTAGAGGGTTATTGTTGTAAATTACACAGAAGTCGAGGGGAACCAATTGGAATCACCAATATATTTATTGGACACCGATTAGAAAAGTTGGGTACATCGGCACAATGTGAACTTTTAGTTTGACCTTTTTTAGTCAAACTAAACAAATTTTGATCATCAATTAAATAAAAATTGTATTGTATATTACTATATTAGTACGAAAATGATTCCACCTATTTTGACCTCCTTTTGTCTTTTCTTTCCAGTCTGATGATGAATGCGTTTTCGAAGACAACCTTCGGTATGTGGTTCTTACCTTTTGTCTTTTCTTTCCAGTCTTTTCTTTCCGCTTTTGTTACAAGTTTTAATTTGGTCTCTGAATTTATTCATGTTAATAGGTACCATCATCATAGTATGCCAGTGACACCTCGCGCATCAAACACAGTGGAGTTCTACTCTGTTCTTATTGGTCGTAGAAATTTGATGGCATTGAATGTGTCAGGCACTATTGAAATCACTACCTACCATAATTCACAATATCTATTCAAGAGTATAGGTGACGATGTTGTGAAAATGGAAGGAGAGAAAGTTCTTCCATTGTTGGAAGTGGACAAAGATTTTTATGATTGCGAGACGCTTGAGTTGAAAATCAATCTGAAAGATGTTGACGGGAAGTACAAGAATAAAGGTTTTTTTACTTACATAATTGATTTCAGCGGATGTCCTTTTTGGTTCAACACCCAGCGATGTTCTGTTATCCCAGGCGAAGATGGTTTTTGTGCTCTATTCTATTCCATGTTCCGAAAAGCTTGTCTTGCAGACATTGAGGTGCATTTCAAGGTCAAGAATGTTTGTGATTCCTTGATTTATGGAAGTGTAGTAGCTCAATATAGCAATTTTGACTACTCAACTCAGTTCAAGAGAGAGTATTTTCGAAGTGTGCTTTTTAAAAGGTCTAAGAAAGATCTAGCAGAATTAGGGGTTGATGGGAAGGTACCACTCGCTCGTTGTGTGGTTGTGGTTCCAATGCATTCAAGTCTTATTCTTGATTTGGATCTCTGTGGGTCAACTGTGAATGATAGTTTATCATTCAAAAAAGAATTTGAGATTGGACATCATTTGATTACGATGGAGACAACTCTCTATGAGCTTGACATTAAGCTTTCTTGGAGAGATGGTAAGTGTATTAATTATGTGTATTATACCGTTTAAATTCTATTATACGTAAATTTTGGTTATTTTATCACTGTTGGATCATTTTGGTGACCTAGTGGCTTCATGTGGTTTGGATCTTTGCATGAGTTATCATAAACATTATGAATTAACAAGGTTTAGGTACTATCAGGTTAAAGATAGTGGGTGACATCAGTATCCTAATGGTATGTTTGAATAGAAATTATATATAAAAAAAAGAAGTAGGCAAAGCGAAATAAGAGAAATCGACTGAAGATGAAGATGAATTTGTCACACAAAGGAACACGAGCCGTACTCAAAATTTGAAGACGAAGATGAATATTATGTAGAGTGATATTGAACAAGCTATTGGAACTGCATATATCTTTTGGATAATGGCTAGATCACAGGCTTCCAATTGTATAGAAATAGCATCTCGAGTACAGTAAACTAGTTCTCTGTATTATAGCACTGCATCATCATTGGTGGGGCTTAAACTTACACTTCTTTCCTTGGCAGCCTCTTACTATGAATCAGGAAAGGAGAAAATGGAAGATATGAACTTGGTCAGTCTAAAAGGAAACGATTCTGCTAGGGAACACTCGTCGTATCAGCAAGAATTGCAAGAACACGTCTCAGAAAGAGTGGACAAGGAGCGTTCATCAGAAGAAAAGCCATTTGAGTTGGAAAAAAATGTGGAAGCTTCTGACTTTCCACGGCCATCTCAGGAAGAACCAGTTGGGGAGATCACAAAACTTAGCTATGCTTCCATATTATGTATCCCTTGTACTTTTAGCTTTCCTGCACGATATACGTTTTCCCATCTGTCATCAGCGCCAGTAATCAGAATACATGTTTTTTCTTCCTTTAATTTGACATAAAATTCTTGGTGATGTGTAGGTATGTGGACCTAAAGGAAAATCTACACCATCTGCTAGTGTGCCGCCACCCTTTACCAAGGGCACACAACGATTGAGTGAGCCTTCGATATTTTTTATTTAAGCGAAAGGTAATTTTATAGGTTGGAGGCATATCCTCATATTTTACAATCCTAACAAAAAAAATAACAAAATAA